ATATTGATTTTCAAGTAATTAGAAGTATCAATAAATTAAAGAGGGAAATTTCTCATAAGAGTTTTCAAGAAAAAGTACAAATGAGAATAGATGATTATTATATGATGGAATAAAATTTTTTTTTTTGTTTTGTAGTTATATTTATTTTATTACTGTATTTTATTATTTTTAATATATATATTAATAAATTATGACTCGTGTCACATGATCTCGTGATTTGTACAACTTGCTCGATTTTGCGGATATTCCGATTTAGCGGATAAATTTTTTGGAACAAACATATCCGCTAAATCGGAATTCACTGTGTAGATGTTTTATAATATTCCTACAAAATAGAAATTTGTTAAATTATTGTAATTTCATTTTAATAATTATTAATAAATAAAGATCTATTATAATTTATCTTTGTGATCGTAAAAATCATTATTAAATCCATAGGAATCACTTGTCTCAGAATTTATTAAAAAAATACCATTCACAAAGGAGAGCAAGCAAAAGTACAACAAAGAGATATTCTATAGTCTGTTGTTGATGAATTAACCAATGCATTTAATCTTCCAGATCCTACAGAACATGTTTTTTTTTTTAAAAAAATACAAAGGAAATGAATGACAATGGTTTTAATAATATGATGAAAAGGGCTTAAAATGCCTTAATGAATTATTATATCAAGAAGTTTATAAAACATTACCATGTTCCACTGTTGTAAAGACTAGTGTCATAATCCAAAAAAGGAAAAAGGATGGTTGCAAAAGTGGTCGCAAAGGTAATTGCAACCACTTTTTATATGCCATAAATACAATTACTACCATCATCATAATTTACAGCACTAGTCTTTACACTGTTGGTAGACAAAGTAAAGATGTTGCTTTTGTAAAAGTTAAAGAACATAATGAATTTGTTAAAGAAATTAACAAAACAAAATGATGAAGCAGAAATTAGAGACAATATACCTGTTCTAGTTGAAGATATAACAGTTGTGCCGGTTAATGAAATATTACAAGTTGAAACCACCCCACATAAAAGTCATAAAAAAACAGATAAGGAACTTGAAATGCTTCAAGAAGCATTTAGTCATCCTACAGATTTACCAAAGGATGTAGCAAAAAAATCATTAGAAAATCTATTGAAATAAATAATTCATGGACATCTACTAAAGTTAGAGAATATTGGTATAATATTGTGAAAAGAAAACAAAAATAAAAATTATATTAACTTATAAAATGTTTTTTATTTTTAATTGTTTCTTCAATGTACTTCATCTAAAATAGTTATATACGATATAATAATGTGAAAAGAAAAAATAAATAAAATTACATTAATATATAAAAAGGGTCATAAATAACTTATAAAAACTTTTTTTGCTTCTAGTTTCTCCTCTTCTGTAAAAACCAAACGAACCATATATTTTCTGAAAGCCCTCAATATACTCTATCTTATCACACTAAAGTGATCATTATAATGTTGTTTTTCATAAAGAATTAGGTCTTTGAAGCTAAAAGGTATGGGTCTTTTTGAAAGGCCATTGCCAGACAACAAAAAAGTTACTGACAAATAAAAGATTGTGTTTAAAAGAGCAAAAGTATGAGATTGTATTTATTTAAAAGTGTAAAAATTGTTTGTTAATAATCTTGCATTCAATTCTTCCTTTAAAAGTCTGTTGTACAAAAAACGTGATGTGTTGATCATATAGTAAAATCAGTAAGTGTGAAATCCTGTCCGACTGTTATTATTATTTGTCAATCACATCCAAATACAATACAATTTCTTAAATAGGAATAAATGGGGAAATTCTTGCTCCTAGTAAAAAAAAATGAATGAAGGTATTTTTTCTTAACACAGAAAATAACTTTTAAAAATATGTAATATTTTTGCATCATAATTTAATATTTTGCTTTATAATAAAATAATACTTAGCTAAATTCTATAAAGGTAAATAAATATTTTAACAACACAAAATAAAATAAACATCATCTAATTAAATAATTTGTTTTTTATTCTTAGGGAGTAAGTGTTATATTATAATTTAACTTTTACAACACAAAATAAACATCTTCTAATTAAATAATTTTTTTTATTTCTTTATAATAACCAGTTGGTAAGTATTATATTATAATTTAACTTTTACAACACAAAATAAACATCATCTAATTAAATAATTTGTTTTTTTATTTCATAGATTGTAAGTATTATATTATAATTTAATTTTTACAACACAAAATAAACATCATCTAATTAAATAATTTGTTTTTTTATTTCTTTATAATAACCAGGGTGTAAGTATTATATTACAATTTAACTTTTACAACACAAAATAAACATCATCTAATTAAATAATTTGTTTTTTTATTTCTTTATAATAAACAGATGGTAAGTATTATATTATAAATTAATTTTTATGACAACTAAATAAAATTAATTTTTATTTCTTTTATAATAACCAGCTGGTAAGTGTTAATTGTATTATAAATCAATTTTTATAATTTTTATATCTAATTAATAAGTTTATTTTTATTTATTTATAATAACTAGCTGGTAAGTAGTGTATTATAAATTAACACAAAAATAAATTTTATTAAAACATTGTCTAATAAATCTTTTTATAATAACCAGGGAGTAAGTATCATATTATAAAATTAACTTTTACACACAAAATAATTTTTATGAAAATATCAATTAATAAATTTATTTTCTTTATAATAACACAATAACCAGCATGTAAGTAATTTTTACAACACAAAATAAATTTTTATAACATCATCTAATTAAATATTTTTTATTTTTTCATAATAACCAGCTGGTAAATATTATATTATATTATAAAATAACTTTTACAACACATTGTCTAATTAAATAAATTTATTTTTTGCATTTATAATAACAATTGAAGGTAAAATAATTTATAAATTTATCTTTTTTATAACTTTTAAATGAATGTCTATTTTTATTATGTTGAAAAATAATTCTATTCTATTTTTAATTTTTTATAATGAATAATAAGATATGGAACCTGTTTTGTTTGTGCAAGATATAATACTAATTACCAGTGGTGTCAATCATGTGATCCCAAATTGTTAGCTCAAAGTTGGACTA